TAGCGACTGAAACGGGAAAAATCGTCGTTCAAGAAGAAATTAACCAGATTATACACGACCTCGACTCCCAATGCGGACTCCACAAACGTACACTAGCAAGGTAATTCGTTCATTTAATGGGGACGGCTTCAGCAGTCTCTACTTACTGAGAGGCGAAGGACAATAATTTTGAATTTTCTGGAAATTTTATCATCTTGAAGACTTTTCGGAAAGGTGCACGAGACACATTATCGGGAGAGTTTAGATTATTTTTGATCATATTTTTTTTGTCAACACTTCGAAACTGTTTGGTGCCAATTCGTTGACTGTACGCACAGTGTGGAGGTGAAGGAAGGGGGGGGGGTGAGGAGGGCGAGCATGCCTACTGTTTACAACAAGGATTTAGATTATACTAATAAATTGTGACTATCAGGTGATTTTGGGATGAAAATTATTCTTAAAATCAGTATGAAATGTCATCAGGCTATCGACAAACCTTCAGATGTAGGCGTCATATCGATACTATTTAACGATGTCAATGACGTCATTGATAGTCGTTTTGTCATTATAATTCGTCCACTACGAGGTACATCAGCAGTACGATCCATATCATTGTCCGTCAATCCAATAAACATCGGGAAAATCTGTTTCGGTCCTAAGAACAAACACTTGCACGAGCATCACAAAGCTCTTACAGTAGTTATCCGTGCGCATTACAAATGCATAGTGTTGCCATAGATGTTGTGTATCGGAGAACAAAGGGCTCAGACGAAAACCCAAGCAAACCAAAAAAAACTCCGCCCAAGAGGTGTCTATAGCATGAAAAGTGCCCCGAAAACAGCGCCTGAACATGGAATGGACCAAATGCAGCCATTTGCGTCCCGACAAGCAAAAATGGGTTCCCTTACCTTCTCGTGACCGTTTCCGTTCGAGGTACTCCTTTTGAATGTCCTTCGGCTCCTCCCTGTCCAATCGAATGAACTTACTCATCGAAACTGAATTCAACAGGATTTTCATACTCAATAGAAAGCAGTAGAACAAATGACATCGTTTACTGCTTACTTTCGCCTCGACTTTGACGTCTTTCCACATGTGCATCCTCATCTTCCTCCGGTATATCAGTGACCTCGCTTCTCCCGCCAAGAGAATACGCGGAACTTGTCATGGGCGATCCGCTGGCCAGATCTCTGAATGACGTCATCACAGGAGCCGAGGATGCCATCATCGGAGGTCCAGAGGATGACATAGCGTAGGCTATCGGTTGATGAGCTGTTGTAGCCGATGATGACATTTGTAGTGGTGTCGATGACGACATTATTCGACGGGGAGAAGGAGGATAGCTCTAAAACTCCTAGTTTACAAAATCGTAAACTTGTAAGTCCAAGAGAAATCAAAACCAACTCCGGACGCAAGTACATCACCGAGGGGCGGCCGTCCGGTGGTCGGTGTCTCCTC